GTGTGTGTGTGTGTGTGTGTGTGTGTGTGTGTGTGTGTGTGTGTGTGACCTGCAGGTAACACCACGTACCTGTGGGAGTTCCTGCTGGAGCTGCTGCAGGATAAGAACACCTGTCCCCGCTACATCAAGTGGATGCAGAGGGAGAAGGGCATCTTCAAACTGGTGGACTCCAAGGCGGTGTCCAGACTGTGGGGCAAACACAAGAACAAACCAGACATGAACTACGAGACCATGGGCCGGGCCCTGAGGTCCGTTCTGTTCTGCACACTGGCTTCACTGAAACACAAAGTCCTGCAAGGAGACAAAAGCAGACTTTTAGTTGAATGCGGACCTTTTTATTTGTATTTAACCTAAAAATATTTCACAAAAACAGCAAAAGTCTCATTTTTACAGTCAAACTGCTCTTCACTGTGACATGTTTAAAACCAGCTGGAGTTCTTTAATGTTGGTCTGTTCTTGCAGGTATTACTACCAGCGGGGCATCCTTGCTAAGGTGGAGGGTCAGCGGCTCGCTTACCAGTTCAAAGACATGCCCAAAAACATCCGAGTGATTGATGATGACGAGGAGGAGGAGGAGGAGATGGTGGAGGACAGAGAGGGAGTAGTGTCTAGCCAGCACCTTGTTCACCAGCAGGGCCCTGCCAGCCTCGGCACAGCCTCCCCGGCCTCCATGCAGCCTAAGCAGACCTACGTCACGGTCATCCCCAACAACGCCGCTTCCAGGTCTGACTCCAGCGTGTTCATGTGCAGAGGCACTTTGATCCGACACGAGTGGTTCCTCACTACCACCTGCCTACGTTAAAAAATAAGATGGAACAAACTCGAACAAATGATTCACATACAAAAGAAAAACAAATTAAAGCGAGCTGTGGACCCCCTCTTACTCCAGCACACCAGGGTCCTATGAACGGGCGTCGTGGAGCGAAGAGGGGGAACTGGAAACATCCTCCGTCCATACGTTCGTCTCTGTGCATGTCTGGAACATGATCATTTGATAAAATAAGCAACAGAGACAGATAGGCCTGTTGCAGTAAATCACATGATGAATGAAAATGATCAACCTCTTTCATTTATCAGCTTTATCATTTCGTCTCTTTCTACTGAAGACACTGGATGACAAAAAGCTCAACTCTGGTGTTCTTCACTTCTCTTTTCTCTTTAAAATCTGTTTTAACCGTCCAATATCTTGTTTTGGATCGTTAAACGCAGCTAAACTGAGAAGCTAAGCTACGAGCTAAGCTAACAGGCTGACCTCGGGGAAAAAACCTCCGTCTTGTCGAAGCTCCAAAATTCACGTTTGAAACCCGTGCTTTCATGTAAAAAATGTTTTTCTCTGCAAAAACAAGCTGAGAACTTGTTTACTGATTATTTATCAAAAGCTTTGTGTGAAAAATGCAAAAGAGCTCAAACCACACCGAGCGTTTGCCAATTTGAGAACCAAAGAGAGACAGCCCATGTCACGTCAAGGGGCCTCCCTCCCATTTTTCTTAGAGACACGGTACTCGCTCCCTCACTATCCATCCTTCAGTTCAAACGGTCTTATACTGCCATCCGGTGGTTGAAAAAAGGCACTCCATGCAAAACATTTCTTCTTAAATTTGAAAATAATTACTGCTATTGTCACATTTCAAACAATATTATTGTTTATCGCAATAATTTCTGAGACAATTAATTGTCCAGCTAAATTTGTTATCGTGACAGGCCTACTATACCGACTTCCATTTTGGTGTGTGGCTACATAGACCACATTAAATATACAAATAAAAACGAGTTGCTGGTAAACTCCATTTGATCCGAGGATATAACTGAGGGTAAAATGTCTTCTGGGCGTCTGACCTGTAACTTCATCAACACTTTGAAGTCCGTGTCTGACGAGCTCTTGGAAACAACACGGACCTCGTAACGATGGCAGAAACCTGCTTCACAGTTTGGCTCAAACACTGACAGGAATGGTGCCAGCTGCTTCCAGAAGGTTCTGTAGGGTTCCATGGGAAGTTGTCTGGACCTGGGTTGTCTTCGGTCTAGAGCTCTTTGCAGTAGTAGGACCGTCTCAGTCCTTGACCAGATTCTGATCCAGGGCAGAGTGTTGAGGAAGGAGATCCAGTCTGCAGAAACAAAGACCTTCAGACAGACGTTCGCTTCATGATTCCTCTCAGCTGAACTGAACCTCCAGCTTGTTGAATCAAACTGTTAGATATCAATATTATTGATCAGATGCCACAAGACTCTAATCTCTGACATCATTTCCTCCCACAGGCCCATCAGAACCTTGCCGGTTGTCATGACCAACTCACTTGGTCAGGTGACGTTAAACTCCTCCTCCATCCTCACCACCGCGGGGGTTCCAGTGACGGTAGCGAACGCCTCGCCCAGCGCTCCGCCCAAACTGGTGATCCAGGCGCTGCCCACGATGCTGTCCGCCGGCTCCAAGGCTGGGGAGAAAATTACCATCATCACCATCCCCGCCAACCAACTGGCCACGCTCATGCAGACTAACTCCCCAGGCCAGGTCACGCAGTTCATCCAGGCTAAACCCATCACCACGTCGCTGCGCCCCCAGGCTGTTGTCAAACCCGCCCCTGCCACATCCACCGTCCAGATCACCGCGGGTCGCACGGCTCCACAACTCATCATAGCCAAACCGGCAGCGGTGGCCCACACCCTGCCGCAGCTCTCTGTTCAGGTGAGCCAGCCTCCCTCTGCCCCCCCCAACACCACCACCCAGCCCCCGGAGCCATCCAGCTGTGAGCCACAAACAGCACAGTCAGAGGTGGGGGCGGAGCCTCCCCCTCCACTGAGCCCCCCAGTAGCAGCAGCTTCATCGTCGTCCTGAGAGCCTCACCCCAGGCTGTAACAGGGCCCCCCCCACGGGAGGGGTGCAGGAAGTGACTGTACGTTCTGCTAAGAAAATGCAGGGAACCCCCCCACTGCTGCCTGGTCTCTGAGCAGAACTGCATCCTGATTGGCTCAGACCTCTACGTCTCCAGATGGATCTGCTGAAGACCTGAGGACCCCCCCTGCTCCCCCCCAGCTCCGATGACCCGGGCAGCCTCAGATTGTAAATGAAAGCAGTTTTGTAATCAAAGCTTATAAATGAAGCCTAAAGAGACTTTCTTGTAAAAAGCAGTTTTTGATACTCAGCAGGCGCGGATCAGTACCGAACCGTTCCATTACTCTGTTACTCCCACAGACCGGACAGGAAGTGGGCGTGGCCAGTGATTTTATAACGCACCAGTTCCTAACACACCAGCCAGACCTGAGGACACTATGCAGACCCACGCAGCAGAACTACTTGTTTCAATTGGACCCAAACCATGAAAGTGTACAATTTGTAAATAAATATTTTGCTGAAGTAAAGTTATTTTCTTAAAACTTCAGAGGCTGTCCCCTGCTGGTCATGAGGGTGCAGGTGTGAGACCTTCAGTCCTGCAGGTCGTCCTGGGTCTCGTCTCCAGAGCCACGCCCATCTGTCAGTCTGTGGTTGTTCCTCAGCTCTGTCACTACTTCTTGTTTTTCTCTTTTATTTCTACTGTTCCTTAAAAGGGAGTGAAGGAAGTCTGCATCCCCGCAACAACCAAGTGGTGCGCTCCACTGTTGGAAGTATAATATACTATTTTTCCTTGTACTATCAGTGTATTGAAGTAGATTTTACTGAAATATGTATTATAAAAAACAATTGTGAATTAAAGTGCACTTGTTTCATTCAGTTGTCTACAGCGGAGCTTCACAATGTTTTCCAACTAATCAGTAAGAACAGCAGCAATGGCTGTCGCTGAATGATGTCATCTAATTAGCAGATTCCATCATTTCATCATCATCGTGATCCAAGAGAGATGGATATTAATAAAAGGTTGTTTCAGGGTTTAGAGCTCATCACACCACAGAAACAGCGCTGATGTTTCTTTCAGCTGCTCGCTCTTCGGGTCACCACAACGAGCAAACTGTCATGAAGATTTAGCTATTTGTTTTACGCCAGATGTCTTTCCTGATGCAGCTTGAGTTCGAACCTACGACCTCATGATTACACCACGGCACCGACCACCGAGCTGCCGCAGCCTATGAAATATTATTCTACAGAGGTTTGAATATGATATTGGGATTACACGAAGGGCTAAAATGGTTTAAAAGCATATTTGATAATATTCCAGTTTGTTCATGGTAATAACGAATCTTCTTAAAGTTCGTCATGGAGTTCCTCAGGGTTCAGTGCTTGAACAAATACTCTTTCCCTTATCTATGCTTCCATCAAGTAAAGTTATTAAACAGCATGGGATACATTGTTATGCTGATGACACAATTATATTTGTCCATTAAACCCAATGAATCCAATCAGCTACTTAGACTACAAGCATGTTTTAAAGACATAAAAACCTGGATGACCCTTAATTTTCTCCTGTTGAACAGACAAGACTGAGGTTTTAGTTTTTGGACCTGAGCACCTTAGGAATTAATTTTTCAGTCTTTCTCCCTCCTTGGCATTAATCTGTCCTCCAGCTCTAGTGTTATAAATCTTTGTGTTATTTTTGATCAGGACGTCTTTTATCCAACACATTAAAAATGTTACAAGAACTGCCTTCTCCCACCTGCCTTTAATGGTTTTTAACTGGAAAATGACTCTTTCATATTTACACTTGTCAAGCTGCTGGTTTGTTTTTTTAACTTAAAAAAAATAATAATAATAATAGCCATCAATTTTTTTTCAATAATCTTATTGTTGATTTTATATGTTTGTTTCTATTTAGCTGTTAAATTAATTTTATCCTCCACTACAAAATTAAAACAAAAACAAGCGAATGAACCAAGTTAGAAAAGTTCTTGGAGAAACTTTGAAGAACTAAAGTTCTGAACGATGTTGACCAGAGTTCGTTTAATTCAGTCAAAATAAGTGAAACTGAACAAAACATCAAATTAACCCCCCCAGGAACATCACAGACAGTATGCATAAAAATATAAATTTTATTGGAAATAAAAGTTGTGAAGTGTTGTCATGGAAAAGCACTACCACAATTAAAAATGTTTAAACATTAAAGCACAAAACTTTAAACTCAACAGAAGAATAATTTCGTACAATTCCTTAATAAATTACAGCAAAGATTAAAACCAAAGAAGCTGCCGTTTCAGCTGAAGGTGAGCGAAAAAGAAGAGGATGAAAATGTTTAAGACTTCCCCCAAAACAAAAACAAGAGCCCAGGAAAATATATTTCAACATGTCTCATCTTTGTGAACATACTAGTCTTTATTCAGTATTTGATCAGATCTAAGCCGAGTCCATCAGTCCATGATCTCATCTGGCTCCTCCCACAACTCTGTGATTGGCTACAGCAGCCTATGAGGCTCCTCCCTGAAGCTGATGTCACACAGCAGAGATAAATGGTCTGAGGGATAATGGTAGGAGGGCAGGCGGTCTGGTCCGATCTGCTCCTCGGTGGGAATATCTAGTAGGTTTTCCACACGCAAAGCATCATGGGAGTACCAGATGTAGTCCAGCGTGCTGCGGCTTTCTCCGGACGGACGGATCTTCCAGGTGGTGTAGGCCGGCTCTTTTTGTCCGTCCGAGCTCAGCAGCTTGTACACCGAGTTCAGGCCCAAAGCCGAGCTGCTGAAGCGTCTGTACACTTCCTCTGAGGGCTCGGCGTTAAAGTCCCCACAAACGATTAAAGGAATGGCGCCCGGCGACTCCTCGCTCCGTCTGCGGCCTCGAGACGTGATACCCCGCAGATTCTGCAGCAGGTCGGAGCCCTGCGCGCTTCGCACTCGCTCCCAGCCACTGCGGGCTTTCAGGTGTGTGACGGCGACACACAGCCGCCGACCCGTCACCCGGCACATGAGCGTCTGTACGATGGCCACCTGATTGGTGGGGAGCATCATGGCGGACAGCCGCAGATGGGCCGTGCTGAGAAGGGTGAACCGTGAGCGGCGGTAGAACAGAGCGCAGCCGTCCGGGCCGTTGTTCTGTTCCACGTCCAGACAGGGGGACCAGGGCTTGGCCAGGAAGCTGCTCTGGTAACCCAAGCTGGCCAGGATGGGCTGGAACGTGTCGTAGTAGTGGTCCACTTCCTGTAGACACAAGACATCCGGGCGGTGGGTGAGGATCTCCTCCAGGATCAGGTACTTCCTTTCAGGCCAGCTGAGAGCGTCCAGGGGGCAGCGGATGAAGCCGTCCTTCCCCTCACCCAGAGCTACAAACACACACAGTTGAAGAATTGAAAAATACGTTCCCTGAAGAAAACACGTTCAAAGATTTACATTTACAGACATCGTCTCCCACAACAAGCCCCGACATCTCCTTAAAACCAAACAGCTGTTCTTTCTGCATTACTGTATCCCAACACTGGGGGGGGGGGGCACAGGGGCAGGGCAGCAGCCAGGCCTACATGTTGCCAGCAGACTTTATGCAGACACGTTGCCAGGTGTGTCCAAACATCAGAAAAGATCTGATGCAGTGATACGTTCCCCATCAACGGAAAAGTTGGGACATAAACTGTAAATAAAAGCTGAATGTATAATTTACAATCTCATAAACATTTATTCACAATCACACAGAAGTCAAGTCAACTTTATTTATAGAGCACATTTAAGACAGAACCTGTTATCATAGTGCTTAACAACAACAACAACAACAACAACAACAACAACAACAACAACAACAACAACAACAATCAATGAGTAAAATTAAAGAGAAAAATAAATACAATATACTAATAATAATAACTGAAGAATTAATAAAAAGCATTTAAAACATAAGATCACAGACAAAAAAACACTAAATCAGTTCACACTGTGTGAAATGTCTGAGAACAGATGAGTTTTTAGCAGAGATTTGAAGGGAGGAGGCCTGCCTGATGTTGGGGGG